ATCTAGTAGTTGATGATTTTAGTCTGTGGCATTGCCAAAATATTAAGTAGATATGATACATATTTTTGGACTTTATGAATTAAAAACAAGTAAATCAACATGTCCACTATATAATATTATACCTACTATTGTTTCAAACTGTATTTTTTCCTCTTACATTTTATAAAATGGAGCTTCCGCTGTCTGTTCGCTTAGATCTTTCAAACTATGCAACGGAAAATCCGTTTTTCAAATTACAGTTTTTTAGCAATAATTAGTGATTCAAGAGGAAGATTTTTATGCATAATAGGTACATATAGGTACAGCCGTGCGAAGACGGGACGCGTAGCTAGTAAATTATGAAAAAAAAGAGACCGTACTCCATCAGTCAGTTTTTCATTCCCAATTTCACAACTAAAAGCGATTGCCAAAGGCTACCATCAAATCGAAACAACGAATAGACGGACGCAAGTCAAATAAAGCGAAATCATGCATTCATTCCACTCGGGTGGTCATCTCATTTGCGGCCGGCATGGAGAAGCATGCCGCAGTATGTGATATATTTTTGAATTTTATGCCTACCTAGATACAGTACTCGTGTACGTGTAGTTTTTGCCGTACCGATTTACAGCCAATATAACTAGACCCGTCACCGAGGGTTGCGTTCATTGGTATAGTTGATAGTGATGCGGGTCTGGTAGATCTTTTTATACTGAATAGTGCAGCTTGTGTGGGGGAGTAGTTGAGATAGTGAGGGGTCACCCCCACGCGTCATCGCGCTGACGGTTGCGCCTGTGTTAGAGAACGAACATTTAAAATGCCCACCCTTGACGATCAACAGCAGCCATTTTCCTTTTTTTCTGGCATCGCGTTTGTGATATATGTATTAGTGCTAGTAAGACGTATTATTTATATATGAATAGAAAGATATTAAAAAGTATTGAATGTTAACAACCTCGGTGGTCTAGCGGTTTAATATACTGCCTTACTGTCCGATGGTAGCGGATTCGATTGCTCACATGGTGCAAATATTTTTATTCAAGAGTAGGTATGACTGATTAATTTGGTCTGGTTGTTTTCTATGTATATTCAATATGTTTTTACCAAAAAATATTATAAATATATAATAGGTATAAATAATCTGACCACAGACTTTAACAATAGAAGAAGGAGTGTGTGTGTGAAATAGAAAATGATAGTGTGTGTAATGTTTTTTTTTAATTGTAATTTAGACTATTAGCATTCAGCACTCCGTCTCTACATAAAATATAAGAGTGCGAAATTTCTTTCATCTCCGACCGCGCAATTATCATAAAACAATGTATTTTTTGGTATAAAGTTTCTGCTTCACATATTCAAAAATAAGAAATAAATAATTACCTTCAATTTGAGAAGTATCACAGTCATTAAACTAAATATTATACACTACATAACATTCAGAAATCACAGTAAACACATAATAACAAATACGATCAACAATGTAGGTATATTGTCTTATAATTAATTAATTTAATTGTCGAATTACAGTTAATGCTGTATTTAGATACGTACAGATCAACGGTCAAATACTGAATGTATTAACAAATAAGATTAGGGCAACTGTCATCTTGTATTTCTCACATACATTTGGATTGATTTGCATTAATATCATCCCGCGGTCGCGCTTCAGGTGTAAGGGTCATCCGAATAGCAACCGGTTTATTATGAGAATCTGTTCTTATGAGGACGTCGTGGGGTAGTTATTTACTAACCAGACTTACAGCGAAAGGTCGTCAGTTCAAATTTGGGAGATGCTATAGATAATCTCATAAAGTTTTTGTGACAATTGATAAGAATTTTATAAGTCATTATGGTAACTAATCAATGTTACCATACTCCTTCAAAATGACTTGACCAATTTTTATGAAATTTTATATGCATAGTGAGTAATTCTGAGATTGTTCACTCCATTTTTTTTATATTTTGGATAAAATTTAATATTATTATTATTAGACAAAACTTATTTTAATTTTTTGGTGTAGCATTAAAAATACATACAACCCCAAATTTTCACCCTTCTACCAACCAACCCCTATTTTTTAATAGTGATTAAAATTTATATTTGCAAAACGATTTTAGAATTATAATTTGTGTGCATCCGTATTGTGGACCCAACTGAAAATCAGCGCTGTAGTATCTATATAGATTACAGAATATTTAGACGAATAGACTATGGGTGAACTTACATGTATGTGCCAGTAATACAAAATGGCTCATAACCACAGATAGCATAATTATCATAACTAAGTGTGGAGAATAACATAAGCGTCACCTTGTGTTATTCGCCATATGTGGTTATGAGCCATTTTGTATTACTGTGGCACATACATGCAGTTTCACCCATATTCTATAACCACGGTGGTCTAGCGGTTCATCACACCGCTTTACTACCGATCGTTGCGGGTTCAATTATTCGCATGGTGCAAATATTTGTATTCATTAGTTTATTGTTTGTATCTGTCTGGGTGTTTTATTTATTTACAAAAAACAATACATCTAAGCATTTATGTTAGTTGCCTAGTACCCATAACACAAGCTCTGCTTGCGACTAGCTTGCGCTGTGCGGATCGTCCTGAGTTCTTATTATAATTATTAAAAAAACTCAAGAAGCAAAAGCTGATTTTCAGCTATATACGCGAGCGTAAATATACTGTTTTAAAAGATCTGAACGTTATAATATCATTTAAATAAATTACAAATGAACTCATATCTATCTATCTTTATATACCATATCTATCACCACATAAGGCGAGAAAACATAATATATTACTAAATGAAATCACTATTATATTAAATATAGATGTTGAAAACTAATATAAAAAAATCACAAAAAAATATCAATTTTTATTTAATATGTATGACATTGTCATTGACAATAATAGATTTTTATGAATCAGAATGAAAATTATTAGACATTACTTCTTAGACTTCTTAGACTCACCCATCATATTCTTAGGTACTATTTAGTGATCATATTTAATTTAAGTAAAATGTACTTTACCGACTGTGACTCCGGTTATAAGCGCAAAGTCGGGATACCTTGAAGTTTAATTTAACAATTTATTATGCGTCAGAAATAAATCCTACTACTGAAATTACTGAAGAAGAGCCACCTAGTGTAACCACTAAGTACTAAATATTGCACAATCAATATGACTTGCGCGCCATCTAGCGGACGAACTTCAAAACACTAGGCTAGAAGACATTTGATATACTATTTTACGTATAATAAAATAGATATCGCATGTGTAAATATTAAATTTATATATTTTGAAATTAACTTTTTAAATTATTAAAAATATAATATATTATCCGATTACACATAATAATAATAGGTTTTATTAGAGTAAAGAAAACAATTTTTTATTTCTTTTATAAAATTAAATGATTTCTGCCCTCTAGCGTATGCCATAAAGTATTATAACAAATACACGAACTTCGGTTAGCATTTACTTGTGCCATTCAAATAACGTTTGCTGTTCGTTTAATGAACTGAACTAATGATTTTAATAAAAAATATGCAATTCTGAGAAAGAATAAGGGGTAAGTGAGTCGCATGATATCAATTTTAAATATTTTATATTTCTTACTAGCTGATTAGTAGTATTGAGTGGCGCTAGAAATATACTGTTATTAAATATTTCTAACTAGCTTCAATCAAGATACGAGATAGGGCAATTGTAATTATTGTATTTCACTTTCAAATAAATATATGGGATTTATAACAATGGTTGTCTATTTAATAATTATAACAAACATATTAAATAGTTACTTGAATGACGATATTAGAGGGAAGCTATCGCAGTCAGATTTTTTTTATTTAATAATATTTTATGACTACTACGATCTGGTCAAGGAGTGCAGTGGACGTCTTCCGGGCTGCGATGATGATGATGATGATGATGAGTGCAATTTATTTTAGTTTGATATCTGTCATAAAACAGTCATATAGATGCGTTCGGAACTTAACCATAATTATGGACATGTTCATCTTACAGTGAAGTATAAGTATAAAAAAATTAAATATAATTAAAAAAAAACTCAAAAGTAAAAAAAAATGTCCCCAAGTATGGCATTAGTTAATTAGATATTTTCATATGTTAATTCCTGCCCTAAGAGATAATTATTATTATTAGATTTCATCGTTACTATTTAAATATTTATTTCAAGTTTATAAGCATAAATCATATTAATTAATTAAAAATATATTGTGGTAGTTATCTCACTCAAACTAGATGGCGTTGTATCTGGTATCTGTGTCCAATTAGCCACTAAAATCTGCTTTAGCATTTGCGAGCGGTTGCCGTTAACGGTAACAGTTTAAAAGATCTAAGTGAACAGACAGTACACTTCATTTTTTACTATATACCTATGATAGGAAACATGTAAGTCCCTTTTTAATATGGATGAAACATAGATTGAACTGCGAAAACATATAGTTATTCTTTAATTGCTCTTCATCTCCAGCTATATAGTTATTGTTATTAATGGCTGATGGGAATGGTGAACACACACTGATTTATGTTGACTAGGCACCAGCATGGAGGATGATAAGATGAATATGAGGTCAGGTCAATTGACCCATCATGACATATTCACCAGGAATTTAACATGATGATTTCCGGGGGAATCTCGTGCAGGTCAACCAGACATGGTACAAATGTCAGCAATGAGGTAATTACTCGTACATTACTAACAATCCACTTCTCCCGGCTTTTGTTAGTTGCTTTAGACCCTGTAGCACTGCGACTTACATAGATCTCTTTTTCAGACTTCGCTACCCAGACCCGTCAGGGACAATTATCGAAAGATATTCTTAGGAGCGATGATTTTCTATCTCTTCAGGCTAGACTGTATATATTTTTTTATTTTTATTTATTCTTTATTGCACTTTTAAAAATTGTACAATTTGTACGACAAGTTTAATATGAGCATTCTGCCGGGAGCAATTACTCGAGAAGCAGGTCGTGCTAACCATTAGGTTAATTGATGGGCAGATGGGGAACCTGCTGCGGCTGCTGCTGCTCATAACGATGAAGGTGCGGCTTTTTACATGGTATACCTATAACGATCACTGGTGCGGCACCAGATGCGGATGAAGCTGCTGCTGCTCCAGATGCTCCGGATGCGCCACCTGCTCCACCGATTCCACCGAGTCCGGCTGCGGCAGAGCCATAAGCATTATCCCGAAGCGGAATCATGGGCGGCTGCTGCTGCAGAATTGTCTTGAGCTACTGCACACAAAATTTTATATTTTTACGCTTATATATATATATAAAAAAAAATAAACATCATTTTCCGGCTGCTGATGATTTTGTAGGACATATTAATGAATGAAAAACCCAATAGTATCCGAAAACATATAGTTATTCTGCTTAATTGCTCTTCATCTCCAGCTAATCCAGCTCCTCCTAAATAATTCCGTTTAAAGAGCTAATGGCTGATCCCAATCCTCCAAGTCCTAGTCCGCCAAGTCCCGAAGCTGCAGATCCTGCTGGGCTGCAGAAATAAATGATGGTGAACACACAACGTGATTTGATTGACTACACCAGCTGAACCTGCTGCGGCTGAGGATATTGTCCTTCTTCGACGAATATAGTTGAAGCTGCAGGTCAATTGACCCATCATGACATATTGCACCAGGAATCCGCCAATTCCGGCACCAAATATATAAGCTGCAGATCCTGCTGCGGCGGCTGCTGCCAGAATTGTCTTCGATAACGATGAATTCCGAAGATATATTGCGGATCCTGGTCCTCCTACGACTGCTGGTCCGACAACGTCGATTCCGCCTGCTCCGGCTGCTGATGAGGCGGCCGATGAGGCTCCGAGTGGTCCGAGACCTCCGTATGGTCCCCATGCTCCAAGTCCCAATGGGCCAAGTCCAGATGCAGCTGAACCTGCTGCTGCTGCTGATGCTGCTGATGTGTCCTGCTTCGATAACGATCACTGGTGCGGCACCAGATGCGGATGAAGCTGCTGCTGCTCCAGATGCTCCGGATGCGCCACCTGCTCCACCGATTCCACCGAGTCCGGCTGCGGCAGAGCCAGCTGCTGCTGCGCCTGCGCCTCCAGCTCCTCCTAATCCTGATAGTCCACCTGCACCGAGTCCGCCAATTCCGGCACCAGCGGCGCTAGCCGATAGAGCTCCAAGTGGTCCGAGTGCTCCATGGTCCCAATTCCAAGTCCTAGTCCGCCAAGTAGCTGCAGATCCTGCTGCGGCGGCTGCTGCTGCAGAATTGTCTTCGATAACGATGACAGGTGCGGCTTCCGATGCGCTAGAGGCAGCTGCGGCTGCTCCTGCGGATCCTGGTCCTCCTACGACTGCTGGTCCGACAACGTCGATTCCGCCTGCTCCGGCTGCTGATGAGGCGGCCGATGAGGCTCCGAGTGGTCCGAGACCTCCGTATGGTCCCCATGCTCCAAGTCCCAATGGGCCAAGTCCAGATGCAGCTGAACCTGCTGCGGCTGCTGCTGCTGCTGATTGTCCTTCTTCGATAACGATCACTGGTGCGGCACCAGATGCGGATGAAGCTGCTGCTGCTCCAGATGCTCCGGATGCGCCACCTGCTCCACCGATTCCACCGAGTCCAGCTGCGGCAGAGCCAGCTGCTGCTGCGCCTGCGCCTCCAGCTCCTCCTAATCCTGATAGTCCACCTGCACCGAGTCCGCCAATTCCGGCACCAGCGGCGCTAGCCGATAGAGTGTCTTCTCCAAGTGGTCCGAGTGCTTATATAAGTTAGTGCCAAGTCCCGAACTGCAGATCCTGCTGCGGCGGCTGCTAGCTGCAGCTTTAATGTCTTCATAACGATGATTGCGGCTGCTCCTGCGGATCCTGGTCCTCCTACGACTGCTGGTCCGACAACGTCGATTCCGCCTGCTCCGGCTGCTGATGAGGCGGCCGATGAGGCTCCGAGTGGTCCGAGACCTCCGTATGGTCCCCATGCTCCAAGTCCCAATGGGCCAAGTCCAGATGCAGCTGAACCTGCTGCGGCTGCTGATGCTGCTGATTGTCCTTCTTCGATAACGATCACTGGTGCGGCACCAGATGCGGATGAAGCTGCTGCTGCTCCAGATGCTCCGGATGCGCCACCTGCTCCACCGATTCCACCGAGTCCGGCTAAAAAAGCCAACTGCTGCTGCCTCCAAGTAATGCATAGTCCACCTGCACCGAGTCCGCCAATTGGCGCCTCCGATAGAGCTCCAAGTGGTCCAATCCGTATGGTCCCAATCCTCCAAGTCCTAGTCCGCCAAGTCTACGAGTCGGCACTGCAGTCCTCCCACGTCTGCTGGTCCGACAACGTCGGGATGAGGCGGCAATCCGTATGGTCCCCATGCTCCAAGTCCCAATGGGCCAAGTCCAGATGCAGCTGAACCTGCTGCGGCTGCTGCTGCTGCTGATTGTCCTTCTTCGATAACGATCACTGGTGCGGCACCAGATCCGGAGCAGGTCGTGCTACACCAGAGCTCCTCCTAATCCTGATAGCTGCTGAAGAAGCGGCCGATGAGGCTCCGAGTGGTCCGAGACCTCCGTATGGTCCCCATGCTCCAAGTCCCAGCAGAGCCAGCTGCTGCTGCGCCTGCGCCTCCAGCTCCTCCTAATCCTGATAGTCCACGCAGAGTCCGCCAATTCCGAGCAGTCCCAATGGGCCAAGTCCAGATGCAGCTGAACCTGCTGCGGCTGCTGCTGCTGCAGAATTGTCTTCGATAACGATGACAGGTGCGGCTTCCGATGCGCTAGAGGCAGCTGCGGCTGCTCCTGCGGATCCTGGTCCTCCTACGACTGCTGGTCCGACAACGTCGATTCCGCCTGCTCCGGCTGCTGATGAGGCGGCCGATGAGGCTCCGAGTGGTCCGAGACCTCCGTATGGTCCCCATGCTCCAAGTCCCAATGGGCCAAGTCCGGATGCAGCTGAACCTGCTGCGGCTGCTGATGCTGCTGATTGTCCTTCTTCGATGACGACTACTGGTGCGGCACCAGATGCGGATGAAGCTGCTGCTGCTCCAGATGCTCCGGATGCGCCACCTGCTCCACCGATTCCACCGAGTCCGGCTGCGGCAGAGCCAGCTGCTGCTGCGCCTGCGCCTCCAGCTCCTCCTAATCCTGATAGTCCACCTGCACCGAGTCCGCCAATTCCGGCACCAGCGGCGCTAGCCGATAGAGCTCCAAGTGGTCCGAGTGCTCCGTATGGTCCCAATCCTCCAAGTCCTAGTCCGCCAAGTCCCGAAGCTGCAGATCCTGCTGCGGCGGCTGCTGCTGCAGAATTGTCTTCGATAACGATGACAGGTGCGGCTTCCGATGCGCTAGAGGCAGCTGCGGCTGCTCCTGCGGATCCTGGTCCTCCTACGACTGCTGGTCCGACAACGTCGATTCCGCCTGCTCCGGCTGCTGATGAGGCGGCCGATGAGGCTCCGAGTGGTCCGAGACCTCCGTATGGTCCCCATGCTCCAAGTCCCAATGGGCCAAGTCCAGATGCAGCTGAACCTGCTGCGGCTGCTGATGCTGCTGATTGTCCTTCTTCGATAACGATCACTGGTGCGGCACCAGATGCGGATGAAGCTGCTGCTGCTCCAGATGCTCCGGATGCGCCACCTGCTCCACCGATTCCACCGAGTCCGGCTGCGGCAGAGCCAGCTGCTGCTGCGCCTGCGCCTCCAGCTCCTCCTAATCCTGATAGTCCACCTGCACCGAGTCCGCCAATTCCGGCACCAGCGGCGCTAGCCGATAGAGCTCCAAGTGGTCCGAGTGCTCCGTATGGTCCCAATCCTCCAAGTCCTAGTCCGCCAAGTCCCGAAGCTGCAGATCCTGCTGCGGCGGCTGCTGCTGCAGAATTGTCTTCGATAACGATGACAGGTGCGGCTTCCGATGCGCTAGAGGCAGCTGCGGCTGCTCCTGCGGATCCTGGTCCTCCTACGACTGCTGGTCCGACAACGTCGATTCCGCCTGCTCCGGCTGCTGATGAGGCGGCCGATGAGGCTCCGAGTGGTCCGAGACCTCCGTATGGTCCCCATGCTCCAAGTCCCAATGGGCCAAGTCCAGATGCAGCTGAACCTGCTGCGGCTGCTGCTGCTGCTGATTGTCCTTCTTCGATAACGATCACTGGTGCGGCACCAGATGCGGATGAAGCTGCTGCTGCTCCAGATGCTCCGGATGCGCCACCTGCTCCACCTCCACCGATTCCACCGAGTCCGGCTGCGGCAGAGCCAGCTGCTGCTGCGCCTGCGCCTCCAGCTCCTCCTAATCCTGATAGTCCACCTGCACCGAGTCCGCCAATTCCGGCACCAGCGGCGCTAGCCGATAGAGCTCCAAGTGGTCCGAGTGCTCCGTATGGTCCCAATCCTCCAAGTCCTAGTCCGCCAAGTCCCGAAGCTGCAGATCCTGCTGCGGCGGCTGCTGCTGCAGAATTGTCTTCGATAACGATGACAGGTGCGGCTTCCGATGCGCTAGAGGCAGCTGCGGCTGCTCCTGCGGATCCTGGTCCTCCTACGACTGCTGGTCCGACAACGTCGATTCCGCCTGCTCCGGCTGCTGATGAGGCGGCCGATGAGGCTCCGAGTGGTCCGAGACCTCCGTATGGTCCCCATGCTCCAAGTCCCAATGGGCCAAGTCCAGATGCAGCTGAACCTGCTGCGGCTGCTGCTGCTGCTGATTGTCCTTCTTCGATAACGATCACTGGTGCGGCACCAGATGCGGATGAAGCTGCTGCTGCTCCAGATGCTCCGGATGCGCCACCTGCTCCACCGATTCCACCGAGTCCGGCTGCGGCAGAGCCAGCTGCTGCTGCGCCTGCGCCTCCAGCTCCTCCTAATCCTGATAGTCCACCTGCACCGAGTCCGCCAATTCCGGCACCAGCGGCGCTAGCCGATAGAGCTCCAAGTGGTCCGAGTGCTCCGTATGGTCCCAATCCTCCAAGTCCTAGTCCGCCAAGTCCCGAAGCTGCAGATCCTGCTGCGGCGGCTGCTGCTGCAGAATTGTCTTCGATAACGATGACAGGTGCGGCTTCCGATGCGCTAGAGGCAGCTGCGGCTGCTCCTGCGGATCCTGGTCCTCCTACGACTGCTGGTCCGACAACGTCGATTCCGCCTGCTCCGGCTGCTGATGAGGCGGCCGATGAGGCTCCGAGTGGTCCGAGACCTCCGTATGGTCCCCATGCTCCAAGTCCCAATGGGCCAAGTCCAGATGCAGCTGAACCTGCTGCGGCTGCTGCTGCTGCTGATTGTCCTTCTTCGATAACGATCACTGGTGCGGCACCAGATGCGGATGAAGCTGCTGCTGCTCCAGATGCTCCGGATGCGCCACCTGCTCCACCGATTCCACCGAGTCCGGCTGCGGCAGAGCCAGCTGCTGCTGCGCCTGCGCCTCCAGCTCCTCCTAATCCTGATAGTCCACCTGCACCGAGTCCGCCAATTCCGGCACCAGCGGCGCTAGCCGATAGAGCTCCAAGTGGTCCGAGTGCTCCGTATGGTCCCAATCCTCCAAGTCCTAGTCCGCCAAGTCCCGAAGCTGCAGATCCTGCTGCGGCGGCTGCTGCTGCAGAATTGTCTTCGATAACGATGACAGGTGCGGCTTCCGATGCGCTAGAGGCAGCTGCGGCTGCTCCTGCGGATCCTGGTCCTCCTACGACTGCTGGTCCGACAACGTCGATTCCGCCTGCTCCGGCAGCTGCGGCTGCTCTGCGGATCTGGTCCTCCTACGACTGCTGGTCCTCCTGCTCCGGCTGCTGATGAGGCGGCCGATGAGGCTCCGAGTGGTCCGAGACCTCCGTATGGTCCCCATGCTCCAAGTCCCAATGGGCCAAGTCCAGATGCAGCTGAACCTGCTGCGGCTGCTGCTGCTGCTGATTGTCCTTCTTCGATAACGATCACTGGTGCGGCACCAGATGCGGATGAAGCTGCTGCTGCTCCAGATGCTCCGGATGCGCCACCTGCTCCACCGATTCCACCGAGTCCGGCTGCGGCAGAGCCAGCTGCTGCTGCGCCTGCGCCTCCAGCTCCTCCTAATCCTGATAGTCCACCTGCACCGAGTCCGCCAATTCCGGCACCAGCGGCGCTAGCCGATAGAGCTCCAAGTGGTCCGAGTGCTCCGTATGGTCCCAATCCTCCAAGTCCTAGTCCGCCAAGTCCCGAAGCTGCAGATCCTGCTGCGGCGGCTGCTGCTGCAGAATTGTCTTCGATAACGATGACAGGTGCGGCTTCCGATGCGCTAGAGGCAGCTGCGGCTGCTCCTGCGGATCCTGGTCCTCCTACGACTGCTGGTCCGACAACGTCGATTCCGCCTGCTCCGGCTGCTGATGAGGCGGCCGATGAGGCTCCGAGTGGTCCGAGACCTCCGTATGGTCCCCATGCTCCAAGTCCCAATGGGCCAAGTCCAGATGCAGCTGAACCTGCTGCGGCTGCTGCTGCTGCTGATTGTCCTTCTTCGATAACGATCACTGGTGCGGCACCAGATGCGGATGAAGCTGCTGCTGCTCCAGATGCTCCGGATGCGCCACCTGCTCCACCGATTCCACCGAGTCCGGCTGCGGCAGAGCCAGCTGCTGCTGCGCCTGCGCCTCCAGCTCCTCCTAATCCTGATAGTCCACCTGCACCGAGTCCGCCAATTCCGGCACCAGCGGCGCTAGCCGATAGAGCTCCAAGTGGTCCGAGTGCTCCGTATGGTCCCAATCCTCCAAGTCCTAGTCCGCCAAGTCCCGAAGCTGCAGATCCTGCTGCGGCGGCTGCTGCAGAATTGTCTTCGATAACGATGACAGGTGCGGCTTCCGATGCGCTAGAGGCAGCTGCGGCTGCTCCTGCGGATCCTGGTCCTCCTACGACTGCTGGTCCGACAACGTCGATTCCGCCTGCTCCGGCTGCTGATGAGGCGGCCGATGAGGCTCCGAGTGGTCCGAGACCTCCGTATGGTCCCCATGCTCCAAGTCCCAATGGGCCAAGTCCAGATGCAGCTGAACCTGCTGCGGCTGCTGCTGCTGCTGATTGTCCTTCTTCGATAACGATCACTGGTGCGGCACCAGATGCGGATGAAGCTGCTGCTGCTCCAGATGCTCCGGATGCGCCACCTGCTCCACCGATTCCACCGAGTCCGGCTGCGGCAGAGCCAGCTGCTGCTGCGCCTGCGCCTCCAGCTCCTCCTAATCCTGATAGTCCACCTGCACCGAGTCCGCCAATTCCGGCACCAGCGGCGCTAGCCGATAGAGCTCCAAGTGGTCCGAGTGCTCCGTATGGTCCCAATCCTCCAAGTCCTAGTCCGCCAAGTCCCGAAGCTGCAGATCCTGCTGCGGCGGCTGCTGCTGCAGAATTGTCTTCGATAACGATGACAGGTGCGGCTTCCGATGCGCTAGAGGCAGCTGCGGCTGCTCCTGCGGATCCTGGTCCTCCTACGACTGCTGGTCCGACAACGTCGATTCCGCCTGCTCCGGCTGCTGATGAGGCGGCCGATGAGGCTCCGAGTGGTCCGAGACCTCCGTATGGTCCCCATGCTCCAAGTCCCAATGGGCCAAGTCCAGATGCAGCTGAACCTGCTGCGGCTGCTGCTGCTGCTGATTGTCCTTCTTCGATAACGATCACTGGTGCGGCACCAGATGCGGATGAAGCTGCTGCTGCTCCAGATGCTCCGGATGCGCCACCTGCTCCACCGATTCCACCGAGTCCGGCTGCGGCAGAGCCAGCTGCTGCTGCGCCTGCGCCTCCAGCTCCTCCTAATCCTGATAGTCCACCTGCACCGAGTCCGCCAATTCCGGCACCAGCGGCGCTAGCCGATAGAGCTCCAAGTGGTCCGAGTGCTCCGTATGGTCCCAATCCTCCAAGTCCTAGTCCGCCAAGTCCCGAAGCTGCAGATCCTGCTGCGGCGGCTGCTGCTGCAGAATTGTCTTCGATAACGATGACAGGTGCGGCTTCCGATGCGCTAGAGGCAGCTGCGGCTGCTCCTGCGGATCCTGGTCCTCCTACGACTGCTGGTCCGACAACGTCGATTCCGCCTGCTCCGGCTGCTGATGAGGCGGCCGATGAGGCTCCGAGTGGTCCGAGACCTCCGTATGGTCCCCATGCTCCAAGTCCCAATGGGCCAAGTCCAGATGCAGCTGAACCTGCTGCGGCTGCTGCTGCTGATTGTCCTTCTTCGATGACGACTACTGGTGCGGCACCAGATGCGGATGAAGCTGCTGCTGCTCCAGATGCTCCGGATGCGCCACCTGCTCCACCGATTCCACCGAGTCCGGCTGCGGCAGAGCCAGCTGCTGCTGCGCCTGCGCCTCCAGCTCCTCCTAATCCTGATAGTCCACCTGCACCGAGTCCGCCAATTCCGGCACCAGCGGCGCTAGCCGATAGAGCTCCAAGTGGTCCGAGTGCTCCGTATGGTCCCAATCCTCCAAGTCCTAGTCCGCCAAGTCCCGAAGCTGCAGATCCTGCTGCGGCGGCTGCTGCTGCAGAATTGTCTTCGATAACGATGACAGGTGCGGCTTCCGATGCGCTAGAGGCAGCTGCGGCTGCTCCTGCGGATCCTGGTCCTCCTACGACTGCTGGTCCGACAACGTCGATTCCGCCTGCTCCGGCTGCTGATGAGGCGGCCGATGAGGCTCCGAGTGGTCCGAGACCTCCGTATGGTCCCCATGCTCCAAGTCCCAATGGGCCAAGTCCAGATGCAGCTGAACCTGCTGCGGCTGCTGCTGCTGATTGTCCTTCTTCGATAACGATCACTGGTGCGGCACCAGATGCGGATGAAGCTGCTGCTGCTCCAGATGCTCCGGATGCGCCACCTGCTCCACCGATTCCACCGAGTCCGGCTGCGGCAGAGCCAGCTGCTGCTGCGCCTGCGCCTCCAGCTCCTCCTAATCCTGATAGTCCACCTGCACCGAGTCCGCCAATTCCGGCACCAGCGGCGCTAGCCGATAGAGCTCCAAGTGGTCCGAGTGCTCCGTATGGTCCCAATCCTCCAAGTCCTAGTCCGCCAAGTCCCGAAGCGGCAGATCCTGCTGCGGCGGCTGCTGCTGCAGAATTGTCTTCGATAACGATGACAGGTGCGGCTTCCGATGCGCTAGAGGCAGCTGCGGCTGCTCCTGCGGATCCTGGTCCTCCTACGACTGCTGGTCCGACAACGTCGATTCCGCCTGCTCCGGCTGCTGATGAGGCGGCCGATGAGGCTCCGAGTGGTCCGAGACCTCCGTATGGTCCCCATGCTCCAAGTCCCAATGGGCCAAGTCCGGATGCAGCTGAACCTGCTGCGGCTGCTGATGCTGCTGATTGTCCTTCTTCGATGACGACTACTGGTGCGGCACCAGATGCGGATGAAGCTGCTGCTGCTCCAGATGCTCCGGATGCGCCACCTGCTCCACCGATTCCACCGAGTCCGGCTGCGGCAGAGCCAGCTGCTGCTGCGCCTGCGCCTCCAGCTCCTCCTAATCCTGATAGTCCACCTGCACCGAGTCCGCCAATTCCGGCACCAGCGGCGCTAGCCGATAGAGCTCCAAGTGGTCCGAGTGCTCCGTATGGTCCCAATCCTCCAAGTCCTAGTCCGCCAAGTCCCGAAGCTGCAGATCCTGCTGCGGCGGCTGCTGCTGCAGAATTGTCTTCGATAACGATGACAGGTGCGGCTTCCGATGCGCTAGAGGCAGCTGCGGCTGCTCCTGCGGATCCTGGTCCTCCTACGACTGCTGGTCCGACAACGTCGATTCCGCCTGCTCCGGCTGCTGATGAGGCGGCCGATGAGGCTCCGAGTGGTCCGAGACCTCCGTATGGTCCCCATGCTCCAAGTCCCAATGGGCCAAGTCCAGATGCAGCTGAACCTGCTGCGGCTGCTGCTGCTGCTGATTGTCCTTCTTCGATAACGATCACTGGTGCGGCACCAGATGCGGATGAAGCTGCTGCTGCTCCAGATGCTCCGGATGCGCCACCTGCTCCACCGATTCCACCGAGTCCGGCTGCGGCAGAGCCAGCTGCTGCTGCGCCTGCGCCTCCAGCTCCTCCTAATCCTGATAGTCCACCTGCACCGAGTCCGCCAATTCCGGCACCAGCGGCGCTAGCCGATAGAGCTCCAAGTGGTCCGAGTGCTCCGTATGGTCCCAATCCTCCAAGTCCTAGTCCGCCAAGTCCCGAAGCGGCAGATCCTGCTGCGGCGGCTGCTGCTGCAGAATTGTCTTCGATAACGATGACAGGTGCGGCTTCCGATGCGCTAGAGGCAGCTGCGGCTGCTCCTGCGGATCCTGGTCCTCCTACGACTGCTGGTCCGACAACGTCGATTCCGCCTGCTCCGGCTGCTGATGAGGCGGCCGATGAGGCTCCGAGTGGTCCGAGACCTCCGTATGGTCCCCATGCTCCAAGTCCCAATGGGCCAAGTCCAGATGCAGCTGAACCTGCTGCGGCTGCTGCTGCTGCTGATTGTCCTTCTTCGATAACGATCACTGGTGCGGCACCAGATGCGGATGAAGCTGCTGCTGCTCCAGATGCTCCGGATGCGCCACCTGCTCCACCGATTCCACCGAGTCCGGCTGCGGCAGAGCCAGCTGCTGCTGCTGCGCCTGCGCCTCCAGCTCCTCCTAATCCTGATAGTCCACCTGCACCGAGTCCGCCAATTCCGGCACCAGCGGCGCTAGCCGATAGAGCTCCAAGTGGTCCGAGTGCTCCGTATGGTCCCAATCCTCCAAGTCCTAGTCCGCCAAGTCCCGAAGCTGCAGATCCTGCTGCGGCGGCTGCTGCTGCAGAATTGTCTTCGATAACGATGACAGGTGCGGCTTCCGATGCGCTAGAGGCAGCTGCGGCTGCTCCTGCGGATCCTGGTCCTCCTACGACTGCTGGTCCGACAACGTCGATTCCGCCTGCTCCGGCTGCTGATGAGGCGGCCGATGAGGCTCCGAGTGGTCCGAGACCTCCGTATGGTCCCCATGCTCCAAGTCCCAATGGGCCAAGTCCAGATGCAGCTGAACCTGCTGCGGCTGCTGCTGCTGATTGTCCTTCTTCGATAACGATCACTGGTGCGGCACCAGATGCGGATGAAGCTGCTGCTGCTCCAGATGCTCCGGATGCGCCACCTGCTCCACCGATTCCACCGAGTCCGGCTGCGGCAGAGCCAGCTGCTGCTGCGCCTGCGCCTCCAGCTCCTCCTAATCCTGATAGTCCACCTGCACCGAGTCCGCCAATTCCGGCACCAGCGGCGCTAGCCGATAGAGCTCCAAGTGGTCCGAGTGCTCCGTATGGTCCCAATCCTCCAAGTCCTAGTCCGCCAAGTCCCGAAGCTGCAGATCCTGCTGCGGCGGCTGCTGCTGCAGAATTGTCTTCGATAACGATGACAGGTGCGGCTTCCGATGCGCTAGAGGCAGCTGCGGCTGCTCCTGCGGATCCTGGTCCTCCTACGACTGCTGGTCCGACAACGTCGATTCCGCCTGCTCCGGCTGCTGATGAGGCGGCCGATGAGGCTCCGAGTGGTCCGAGACCTCCGTATGGTCCCCATGCTCCAAGTCCCAATGGGCCAAGTCCAGATGCAGCTGAACCTGCTGCGGCTGCTGCTGCTGATTGTCCTTCTTCGATAACGATCACTGGTGCGGCACCAGATGCGGATGAAGCTGCTGCTGCTCCAGATGCTCCGGATGCGCCACCTGCTCCACCGATTCCACCGAGTCCGGCTGCGGCAGAGCCAGCTGCTGCTGCGCCTGCGCCTCCAGCTCCTCCTAATCCTGATAGTCCACCTGCACCGAGTCCGCCAATTCCGGCACCAGCGGCGCTAGCCGATAGAGCTCCAAGTGGTCCGAGTGCTCCGTATGGTCCCAATCCTCCAAGTCCTAGTCCGCCAAGTCCCGAAGCGGCAGATCCTGCTGCGGCGGCTGCTGCTGCAGAATTGTCTTCGATAACGATGACAGGTGCGGCTTCCGATGCGCTAGAGGCAGCTGCGGCTGCTCCTGCGGATCCTGGTCCTCCTACGACTGCTGGTCCGACAACGTCGATTCCGCCTGCTCCGGCTGCTGATGAGGCGGCCGATGAGGCTCCGAGTGGTCCGAGACCTCCGTATGGTCCCCATGCTCCAAGTCCCAATGGGCCAAGTCCAGATGCAGCTGAACCTGCTGCGGCTGCTGCTGCTGCTGATTGTCCTTCTTCGATGACGACTACTGGTGCGGCACCAGATGCGGATGAAGCTGCTGCTGCTCCAGATGCTCCGGATGCGCCACCTGCTCCACCGATTCCACCGAGTCCGGCTGCGGCAGAGCCAGCTGCTGCTGCGCCTGCGCCTCCAGCTCCTCCTAATCCTGATAGTCCACCTGCACCGAGTCCGCCAATTCCGGCACCAGCGGCGCTAGCCGATAGAGCTCCAAGTGGTCCGAGTGCTCCGTATGGTCCCAATCCTCCAAGTCCTAGTCCGCCAAGTCCCGAAGCGGCAGATCCTGCTGCGGCGGCTGCTGCTGCAGAATTGTCTTCGATAACGATGACAGGTGCGGCTTCCGATGCGCTAGAGGCAGCTGCGGCTGCTCCTGCGGATCCTGGTCCTCCTACGACTGCTGGTCCGACAACGTCGATTCCGCCTGCTCCGGCTGCTGATGAGGCGGCCGATGAGGCTCCGAGTGGTCCGAGACCTCCGTATGGTCCCCATGCTCCAAGTCCCAATGGGCCAAGTCCAGATGCAGCTGAACCTGCTGCGGCTGCTGCTGCTGATTGTCCTTCTTCGATAACGATCACTGGTGCGGCACCAGATGCGGATGAAGCTGCTGCTGCTCCAGATGCTCCGGATGCGCCACCTGCTCCACCGATTCCACCGAGTCCGGCTGCGGCAGAGCCAGCTGCTGCTGCGCCTGCGCCTCCAGCTCCTCCTAATCCTGATAGTCCACCTGCACCGAGTCCGCCAATTCCGGCACCAGCGGCGCTAGCCGATAGAGCTCCAAGTGGTCCGAGTGCTCCGTATGGTCCCAATCCTCCAAGTCCTAGTCCGCCAAGTCCCGAAGCGGCAGATCCTGCTGCGGCGGCTGCTGCTGCAGAATTGTCTTCGATAACGATGACAGGTGCGGCTTCCGATGCGCTAGAGGCAGCTGCGGCTGCTCCTGCGGATCCTGGTCCTCCTACGACTGCTGGTCCGACAACGTCGATTCCGCCTGCTCCGGCTGCTGATGAGGCGGCCGATGAGGCTCCGAGTGGTCCGAGACCTCCGTATGGTCCCCATGCTCCAAGTCCCAATGGGCCAAGTCCAGATGCAGCTGAACCTGCTGCGGCTGCTGCTGCTGCTGATTGTCCTTCTTCGATGACGACTACTGGTGCGGCACCAGATGCGGATGAAGCTGCTGCTGCTCCAGATGCTCCGGATGCGCCACCTGCTCCACCGATTCCACCGAGTCCGGCTGCGGCAGAGCCAGCTGCTGCTGCGCCTGCGCCTCCAGCTCCTCCTAATCCTGATAGTCCACCTGCACCGAGTCCGCCAATTCCGGCACCAGCGGCGCTAGCCGATAGAGCTCCAAGTGGTCCGAGTGCTCCGTATGGTCCCAATCCTCCAAGTCCTAGTCCGCCAAGTCCCGAAGCGGCAGATCCTGCTGCGGCGGCTGCTGCTGCAGAATTGTCTTCGATAACGATGACAGGTGCGGCTTCCGATGCGCTAGAGGCAGCTGCGGCTGCTCCTGCGGATCCTGGTCCTCCTACGACTGCTGGTCCGACAACGTCGATTCCGCCTGCTCCGGCTGCTGATGAGGCGGCCGATGAGGCTCCGAGTGGTCCGAGACCTCCGTATGGTCCCCATGCTCCAAGTCCCAATGGGCCAAGTCCAGATGCAGCTGAACCTGCTGCGGCTGCTGCTGCTGCTGATTGTCCTTCTTCGATGACGACTACTGGTGCGGCACCAGATGCGGATGAAGCTGCTGCTGCTCCAGATGCTCCGGATGCGCCACCTGCTCCACCGATTCCACCGAGTCCGGCTGCGGCAGAGCCAGCTGCTGCTGCGCCTGCGCCTCCAGCTCCTCCTAATCCTGATAGTCCACCTGCACCGAGTCCGCCAATTCCGGCACCAGCGGCGCTAGCCGATAGAGCTCCAAGTGGTCCGAGTGCTCCGTATGGTCCCAATCCTCCAAGTCCTAGTCCGCCAAGTCCCGAAGCTGCAGATCCTGCTGCGGCGGCTGCTGCTGCAGAATTGTCTTCGATAACGATGACAGGTGCGGCTTCCGATGCGCTAGAGGCAGCTGCGGCTGCTCCTGCGGATCCTGGTCCTCCTACGACTGCTGGTCCGACAACGTCGATTCCGCCTGCTCCGGCTGCTGATGAGGCGGCCGATGAGGCTCCGAGTGGTCCGAGACCTCCGTATGGTCCCCATGCTCCAAGTCCCAATGGGCCAAGTCCGGATGCAGCTGAACCTGCTGCGGCTGCTGATGCTGCTGATTGTCCTTCTTCGATGACGACTACTGGTGCGGCACCAGATGCGGATGAAGCTGCTGCTGCTCCAGATGCTCCGGATGCGCCACCTGCTCCACCGATTCCACCGAGTCCGGCTGCGGCAGAGCCAGCTGCTGCTGCGCCTGCGCCTCCAGCTCCTCCTAATCCTGATAGTCCACCTGCACCGAGTCCGCCAATTCCGGCACCAGCGGCGCTAGCCGATAGAGCTCCAAGTGGTCCGAGTGCTCCGTATGGTCCCAATCCTCCAAGTCCTAGTCCGCCAAGTCCCGAAGCGGCAGATCCTGCTGCGGCGGCTGCTGCTGCAGAATTGTCTTCGATAACGATGACAGGTGCGGCTTCCGATGCGCTAGAGGCAGCTGCGGCTGCTCCTGCGGATCCTGGTCCTCCTACGACTGCTGGTCCGACAACGTCGATTCCGCCTGCTCCGGCTGCTGATGAGGCGGCCGATGAGGCTCCGAGTGGTCCGAGTCCTCCGTAGGGTCCATATGGACCATACCCAGTAGGAACTACAGCTGGTGCTGGTACGTTTCCTGTTGGACCGTTTCTTTCAATTACAACAGTTGGTCCAGGGCTTGGTCTTGCTGATGTCACAGCTGAAGCTTGAGCAGGACGACGTCCAGCAGTACTCCTTCCTGTAACACTTTGTTGTCCTGGTTTTTTCTTTATTACAACGTCTTCCTCATAGACTGTTTCGTGACCAGATGCATCAGTTTCTATGACGAAAGTTCTGACGATCTTGTCTTCACCAGAAATATTTGGTGTAATGTCTCCATCTCTCTCGAACTTTTTGATTGTAGTCTCTTTTTCGTATACAGTCCCATTTTCGACATCAACTTCTGCTGTAGTAGTTTCACCTATCTCTATGAAATTTTCATTTTTAAAGTTGAGAAGGTTATCATCGATGGCATCTGCAGTAACATACTGAAAATAAAAAATAATGTATATTCTTATAAAAAAATATTAAAGAAAATTTGTCTTCATAGCACAATCCACACGCAGGTTGTTGGATTGATTTTATTATAGACGTTATAACCATATGACTTTTAAAATATACTGCGGACATGTCACATGTCAAGTGTTGCGTTTATTAGGCGACCCCTGATAATAAACCTCTGATTTTCTTTAGGTAACATTTGTCACTTGAGATTATATTATTAGAATAACAAAAGTACAGTATTAGAGGATTATGCCTTGTACCTCGTACCACGAGTATCACTCGTGTTACGTTGACAGATAATTTACCCAAGAGATTAGAGCAGTCGAAAGCACCCAGAGGCTACTCTCATTAGATATGTAATATCCGCGATTTCCCTATGCTTCTCAGGAGGCAGAATGTGGTGTTTTTTGCGGAACTTAAGATACATAGAGGAATTATGAACTCGTAATATGTAGGCTAAGAAACGAATAAAACTCTTTTGGATATTATCGAGACGTAGTATGTAGGATTTGTATCTTTATTACAAATCTATTATTCAAGTATATTTTATATTTAAATATCTGAGAAATGTTGAAGAGATTTAAAAATATAGGCTGGACAGTGGGTACATCTGTACCAAATACGATTTAGAACAGAGTTCATTACAAAATTATGTAATAGAAAATATGAATTTTTAAAAGAATACATAGCGAATTTAGACGATCGATATTAGTTTCAATGAAGTATTACTAACCTGCAGAGCACAGCACAAGATCACAAAGGTTGTGACTCTCATTGTGTGGTGAGAGTGGAACCGGACTGATGCCAATTCCTGCCTCTCCAGGCCTTTTTATACAACAATTCTGCTACGTTATTGACGTAATAGTCATACATAAGATATAAAGTAAATATTGACGTAATTAAAGCAAGAAAATGCTCATTTATTTAAAACAATATATTAAACGTCTGGAGAGCTCGAACAATAACACAAATTAAGGTTTGATTCAGTATTGTCAGGTTGTCAATATTATCTTAAAACTTGTTTACGCATTCGATTGTTATGCTGTACCTACATAATTTTCTAGAAATGTATAATAAATAATTCACTAGTTTTAATATTACATACACTCGACTCTAAATACCAAAAAGCTTTAAGGGCTTTTTGGAGAACCCTGAAAACAAGAAAGTAATAAGTGATTGTATTTATAAAATAATTGCGTAAGCGACTTAGTAATTTATTTAATTTATAATTAAAGAACTACTAATCAGATCATCCCCCTGATCCTACTAACAATGCGAAAGTTTGGACGGAAGGATGAAGACGTAACTTAATGGTTGTTCCTACCTTTTTCACACAAAATACCACTAAACGGATTTTGATTAGATTTTATAGTAAAGTAGCTTATACATAAGAAAAACATATAGGCTACAATTTAAAATTATGTATTATGAAAATAATAAAAATAATACATATATATTATGTATTGTGTAAATTGATAAGTATTAACTTTTAACTAACGTTGAATAATAAATGAGTCTTGTTCATGGGAGATAACAAATATTTCTCAAAATCATAAATACCACTTTTAATTTGAAATTTACTTAAACGGTAGTTAACATAAGTAAGTAGAGAATTTATCCATTTTTAATTTAGTTATTTGTTTGTGTTTTATTTAATTTGTGTCGGTAACCATTTACTATCAGATGGGCCGTAGGCTTGTTTGCCACCATAGCAGTATAAAAAAAAATAACTATTTGTCTGTGTCTGTAGCTCTATTACGCTAAAACTACTTAACCGATATATGTAATTTGGACAGATGAACTTGAACAGATGGTCTGAGAAAGGATAAAGGCTTTCTAATTAAAAAAACGGTTGTAAGGGGTAGAAAAGAGTGATTAAAGGTTGTATGGAAGTATCATCATTTTTAAGAAAATATTTTTAAGGTATTTAGTCAAAATATAAGTAAAGTAAGTGAGTAAATATAGGTCTGACAATACTTTTGTAATTAATTTTTATCCCCTTAAGTTAATGGTACCTCAGTTTCTAATTGCAAATTAATAGCTTTTCTATAAAGCATACGATGAACGTACATAATATTTCTTTTCTCTGTCTATCTGTCTGATTGTCTATTCGTTCTTGCTAATTTCTGAAACGGCTGGACCAATGTTGCCCGGACTTTCACTCGCAGATAGCTAATGTTGTAACTTAGGATAAACTTTAATTTTAGAAAGAAAGAAAGAAAGAAAGAAAGAAAAATATTTTATTCAGTGCAATGTAAAAAATACAATATAAACAACAAACGGAAAAAAAGAGCAAATAAAATGTACATATAATTAAACTTAATTTACCATAATTAAAAAATAAACATAAAATAAACAATTTTAATAATACTATTTACAAAAATCATTCTACCGAAGTCACGGGTACCAACTAGTATTTAATATAGGTCACTAAGGTCACACAATTTTTTAAAATATGACAAAATAAAATAGAATATAAAATTCTTTATTCAAATATACTTCATTTATTAGCCCTGAATCATCTTATTTTTTTTAATCTAACTATCATTGTAAAAGCTGTTGCATCACAAGACGAAAGTGCAAGAAAATTATATAATTCTTATACTTTACATTTTAAAGTTGAAAACAAACTGCCAAATAGCTTTTTTTTTCGGACTACTCAAATCTGTTGGCCGCAGCTGGCCTTTACGGCTTCACCGAACATTAGCGGGCGAGTGCCGATGGCACTCCAAACCCGCGGAAGGACTTATGGAGCGGCTGAAGGCCAACTCCTGTCTGATGGATACGACTTTAGTCTGAGGGCACCACTAGGGGTTCGAACCTCGGCTCAGGCCGTCGTAATGTGTGTGTAAAAGTGTGGTCTGGGTGGAACGGGTGTGCCAGTGGGGAGTTTGCCAAATATCAGTAATCCAATGGACACAAAAATATTTTTTTTGTTAGTATGTCCATAGTATAGTATTCGCTGATAAGTCTTAACCGATTTGAATGCGGTTTTCATTCTGCATGAATTGGAATAAACTATACCTACCCATGACATTTATGGTTTGTTTGATCCACAGAAATCCGTTCATAAAGAAAAAAATACATTAATAGGAAATAGGTATATATTAGAAAGATCCAGTCTCCTAAAAATGTTATAATTCTTCTTATTACGCTGTCATAAGAGATAAGAAAGAAGCAGGTCCAAATGAATGAGATAAGGAAGAAGCAGATGATGATTAGATAATTACAATAATTAACTAAGTACGTCGCGTAAGTTTATCAAATTTATTTTGATCAAAACACACGCAAGCTGTTCACACAAATTTAAATCTTATTGTGAACAATACAAATATAGACTTGGTTGATTGTGAAGCATTGTATGTTATGATTATGACTACAGATAAAATCTTTGTATGATATTAATATTTTACGAAATTGTAAGTCTGTTCGTATTGAGTTCGAAGTATAGTGTGCTGCACGTATACAATCTGTACTCAACTTCCAAATAAACTCTAAAATTGACACTTCGCCCCGTAATTATGTAACAATGTTACAACCATTTCTTAAGGGGAAAAGGGATTATTTGTAATGTGATCAAATAAACCTATTGTTATCAATGTACCATGTCAGTTTCCCCCTGGAAACTAGCATGACAAATTTCTGATGAATTTTGCATGATCCTCCACTGATGCCCCGCCAGCGAATACCGTTACCGCAAGCGGATGCAATTAATATTTTTTTTAATGGATGATTATGTTAACTCATACATTAAAAAAATATATTGTAACGAATATAAATCTAAAATATTGTACAAAATGCAAACCAAACCAAATTAAATTGCCTTAACTTAGTTTACATCTACAAAACTGTTAAATTTCAAAAATCTCAATCCTTGGACTTTCAAACCGTTACAATTAAGAATTATTATTAACAGCGTTACAAAATGGTAAGAGCTCCATCGACAACGCGCTATTTATTAAGAATGAATGATAAATAGACTGCAAATACCTATGCATTAGGTATATTCTCTATTAGGTAAATAAAACTTCGTATATAGTAAAATTAATTCTCTTTTAAGTCGAATTCCAATCTTTATATCTTTCTCTTGTTATGACATTGCCATGTAATACTGAATTGACTTTCCTTATGTTTTAAATTTCCTATAGAATGGGATCACACTTATTGTTAAAAAAAAATTAACAATAAGTGTGATCATGTCAGATCATGTGACAGTTTTTTCTTGTGTGCCTTCCGTTTCCCCTACCATGACAGTTACAAAGACCTTACCAAAGGGCCTGATACGCACGCTCGACGTTCTTAAAATATAATTAAAACTTCAGTGCTAGGCCCAGATATGTGCTGAACAGCACTAAGAAACCCTCAAAGCATCAATAGATATGACTGACTTAACCTCATACTTCCACATTTTCCCCTAACATCCATAAAACCGCGCGAAAATGTTATATTCCACATACAAGAATAAGTTTCATTTCTTCAATACATTTGTTCAAATATGTCTGATTGCTGTATTGAGCTGTCTCTTAACTATATATTTGCGCATGATTTTACGCATTTACGAGAAAACAAAAGCGTAATTTCGAATAATATCTTTATAACGAACACAGCAGGTATTATTATTTACAAAACAAACGAGTTATCGGTATATACTAATGTGTATTATATAAAAGCAAAAGATTCTTGATACTTCGCTTTTCATATCGTGTAAGTGGGTAGTAGTAGGTGCTTTAAACTTTCCGTTTCGCCTACTTTAATTTCGGTTTCAGTAGTTGGTAGCAATATTAATTAGCTCAAAATAGATGTGAAAATGTAAAATATATATAATTTAATATAAAAAATAAAATAAAAGATTTTATTGCCACACTAAGTTATATGGTTTTTAAAATATTATATAAAATGTTACTAATCGAAAAACGGTACAGCGTGTCTTCCGGCATAGGCCTCCTCTAAAGATTTCCATTCTGTCCTGTCATTTGCTTTGCGAGTCCATACTGGACTCTAACTTCCTAATATCAACTCATAATTTAATATTTATTATCTATATAATTAATCTCTATTAATGACCATCTCTCATTAAAATACAACGTTTCGTAGCTATAACAGGTAATATTTTTCAGTCTTAAAACTCACGATTAATTATTAATAAAATTGTATCAAATACATTTGTTTCGTAATTAATCCATAATAAAATAAATATATACAAAAACATAAATAAATACCATAAAGAGTATGTAGTGACTGCCCCGACTACCATCTAAATCGTCGTGAGTTTAAATATAACCCACACCAAAAAGAGCGTTGTGTGTGTTAACAAATGTCTCCCCGGCGTAGGAAACAAAACCAAACAACAACCAAGTGATAACAAAACAAAAAAAAACCTCGTGCACATTGCAATCAAAATATATCACATCAAGTGTTGCGTTCAGCATGACATCTACAATTGATAATTTCTCCTCCGATCGATCCCCGTCCACTTCAAACTAGGATCGAAATTACGACAGCCTGAGCCGAGGTTCAAACCCCTAGCGGTGCCCTCAGACTAGTCGTATCAGTCAAGCGGGAGTTGGCCTTCAGTCGCTCTATAATCCTTCCGCGTGTTTGGAGTGCTATCTACACTCGCCCCCTATCGTCCGGTCTAGTCTAGGACTAAACTAGCCAGATGTGGCCAACAGCATTAGATGATTCGAAAAAAAATTACAACGCCTCTGGCTATGCCATTCGTGAATATAGTCGTGACGGTATGTGTTCTATTGTACAATTTCAATAATATTATTT